TTAGGTCATATATACGTGGGTCATATACATTTACATACACACATATTTTATCCTTGATCTTATAAAAATTAGGACAGAACTAGGAGAGATAATGTTGGATTATTCTATGTTTAGAATATATAAATGTAAAGTCCTATACTTACACATAATGTTATGATGTGTTAAGGCCTACTTCAATAATTAGTTGCACCAGGGGTGCCTAGGTCAGCATATAACTCTTGATCTTGGGGTTTGTGAATTCAAGCCCCACATTGGGTATAGAGATTACTTGAAAAATAAATTGTTGTACAAGTATAGCATAGAGAAGACCTGGTTTGAAAGTTCTTCATGGAAATTCATAAGACTTTACAGAAACAAGTAAACAAGTAGATTTTCTCTTAGTCTCAGTGTCAGTATTTTTAACTTTTCCTTTGGATGGATGGTTTGGGCATGGCTTTCTTGAATCTTAAATATATTTATTTACTTTGAATAACCGTCTCAAGAATTTTTCCCAAGGAAATACTTCAAAGGACAAGAATAATTTAAAAGTGAAGATGTTTTTAGCTGTTTTCTTTGAGATAGTAAACAATGGAAGCATATATCAACAGGGAAATGATTAAATTTTGGTATCTACAGGTCAACATTAAAGAGATTAATATGACTCTGTGGCTATATAGAAAAATGTTCATGCTATTTAAGAAGTAGAACAGATTAGATATCTATATCTTTTTTTTCTTAGAGACTTTATTTATTTATATGACAGAGGAACACAGCGAGACAGGGAACACAAGCAGGGGGAGTGGGAGAGGGAGAAGCAGGCTTCCCCCTGAGCAGGGAGCCCAAGGCGGGGCTGATCCCAGGATGCTGGGATCATGATTTGAGTCAAAGGCAGACGCTTAATGACTGAGCCACCCAGACACCCCCATATCTATTTCTTTCATTCATTCATTCATTCATTTTAGATTTTATTTATTTATTTGACAGAGAGAGAGAGAGAGAGATCACAAGCGGGCAGAGAGGCAGGCAGAGAGAGGGGAAGAAGCAGGCTTCCTGCTAAGCAGAGAGCCCGATGCGGGGCTCGATCACAGGACCCCAGGATCATGACCTGAGCTGAAGGCAGAGGCTTAACCCACTGAGCCACCCAGGCGCCCTTATCTATTTCAATTGTAAGAAAATTGTATTTACATGTTAATGAAAATTGAAAAAGGCATTTAAAACTAGTGAAAACTGTTTTTTAGCATAGAGTTAAATTTAAACATTTAAATTCTTTTACATTTGAATCTTTATTATTAAAAATTATTTTGAGTATAGTTGATACACAGTGGTACTTTAGCTTCAGCTTTACAACATAGTGATTCAATTTCTTTATACATTATGCTGTGTTCACCACAAGTGACGCTACCATCTGTCACCACAGAAGTCATATTATAGTATCATTGACTATATTCCCTGTACTGTGCCTCCTATTCCTGTTACTTACTCATTGCATAACTGGAAGCCTATAGCTCCCATTCTGCCCACCCACCCAACCCCCCTCACCTCTGGCAAACATCACTTCTCTGTATTTAAGGTCTGATTCTGCTTTTTGTGTATTCATTTGTTTTTTTGTAGATTCCACCTGAGTGAAATCATATGATATTGGTCTTTTTCAGTCTGAGTTATTTCACTTAGCTTAATACCCTCTAGATCCATCTTTGTTGTCGTAATGGCATAATCCCATCCTTTTTTATGGTTGGATAATATTTGTGTGTGTGTATGTGTTTGTACACACACCTTTCTTCCTTATCCATTCGCCTATCAGAGGACACATAGGTTGCTTCTACATCGTGGTTATTAGAAGTAATGCTGCAATAAACACAGGGTGTGTATGATGTAGGAAAGATGTTAGGGCTTGAAGCCAATGGCCAAGAAAGAATCCTTGAGATGTTTTTGGTGCAGAACGTGGTTTTATTAAAGCACGGGGACAGGACCCTTGAGCAGAAAGAGTGGCACTGGGGTCATGAGGAGTAGCTGATTATATACTTTCAGGTTTGGAGGGGGTTAGGGATAGTGTAAGTCTAAGGATTTTGGAATCAAGGTTTTCAGGACCTTGAGGGGCTAGCTCTTGTTAGGATGAGATCCTTCAAATGTATATTGGTGGGTTATATGCTTGGGGGATGATAGCCAGTAGGTATCTTGGGGGGTACAGATAAAGGAAGTTTTAATATGCTAAAGTAGACTTACAGGATCCTGGGGGTTAGGCTAAGATTGCCTTTTGCCCTTAGCAAAGTATTAACATCGGGGCAGTTGAGTCCCTAGAGGAATGTCACTCTGCCTGTTTCAAGGACCTGTCAAGGGGTTGTTAAGTAGTAAGGAAATTTAATTTTTCCTTTGCCTTTGTTTCCCACATTACATACATCTTTTCAAATTACTAGTGTTTTCATTTCCTTTGGGTAAATACCCAGCACAGGAATTGCTGAGTCATATGGTAATTCTATTTTTAATTTTTTGAGGACACTCCATACTGTTTTCTACAGTAGCTGCACCAATTTACATTCCCACCAACAGTGCACGAGGATTCCTCTCCCTCTGCATCCTTACTGACACTTGTTATTTCTTGTCTCTTTTTTTTTTTTTAAAGATTTTATTTATTTATTTGACAGAGATCACAAGTAGGCAGAGAGGCAGGCAGAGAGAGAGGAGGAAGCAGGCTCCCCGCTGAGCAGAGAGCCTGTTGTGGGGCTCAATCCCAGGACCCTGGGGTCATGACCTGAGCCGAAGGCAGAGGCTTTAACCCACTGAGCCACCCAGGCGCCCCTATTTCTTGTCTCTTTGATGCTAACCATTCTAACAGGTATAAGGTGGTCTCTCACTGTAGTTTTGATTTGCATTTCCCTGATGACGAGTGACGGCGAGCATCCTTTCATGTATGTGTTGGCCATCTGTATGTCTTCTTCGGAAAAATACTAATTCAGGTCCTCTACCCATTTTAATTGGATTTTTTGTATTTTTGGTGTTGAGTTGTATAAGTTCTCTCTGTATTTTGGATATTAACCCCTTATTGCATGTGTCATTTGCAAATCTCTTTTCCTGTTCAGTAGGTTGCCTTTTGGTTTGTTGTTTCCTTTGCTGTGCAGAAGGTTTTTATTTTGATGTAGTCCCAAATAGTTTATTTTTGCATTTGTTTCCCTTGCCTCAGGAGACATATTTAGAAAAATGTTGCTAGGGTCAATGTCCAAGAAATTACTGCCTATGTTTTCTTCTAGGAGTTTTGTGGTTTCAGGACTCAGTTTAGGTCTTATGTAGTTTGAGTTCATTTTTGTGTATGGTATAATAAGAAAGTGGTCCAGTTTCATTCTTTTGTGTGTAGCTTTCCAATTTTCCCGACACCATTTGTTGAAGAGACTATCTTTTCCACACTGTATGCTCTTGCCTCTTTTGTCATAGATTAATTGACCATATTAAGTGTGGGTTTATTTCTGGACTCTTATTCTGTTCTATTGGAATATGTGTCTATTTTTGTGCCAGGATCTTTGATTACTACAGCTTTGTAATATAACTTGAAATCTGGAATTGTGATACCTCCAGGTTTGTCTTTCTTAAGATTGGTTTGGGTGTTTGGGGTCTTTCGTGGTTCTATACAAATTTTAGGATTATTTGTTCTAGTTCTGTGAAAAACACGATTGGTATTTTGATAAGGATTTCATTGAATCTTAAAGTTATTCAATATTGAATCTAGTCAGTGTTCAAATTTTCAATATCCTCATTTCTTTTACTTTAAAATTATTTATGGTTTTTAAAAATTAGGATCCACATAAAGTCCATATATTGGAATTGGTTGACATAGTTCTTAAGTTTCTTTTAATCCACTCATTCTCCAGATCTCCATGCCTTTCTTTTTCTCCTTGCGTTTTATTTGTTGAAGAAATGGAATTGTGTGACAGTAGGGATCCCCCTCTCTGGATTTTGGCAGACTACAGCCTGGGAATGTCATCTAATATGTTCTTCAGTCTTCTGCTTTCCTGTGAAGTAGGAGTTGGATCTAGTTATCCCTAAATTGGGAATACTTTTCATTCAGTCTCCCTTTAAGACCTTCTCTTTCTCTTTAATTTTAGGGTTCTTTATCTTTAGAGCTGCATGCTCCACCAGCTGAGCCAGCCAGGTGCCCCTAGAGTTTAATTTTTTTATTTATTGTTCATTCTGTGTGTTGCTTCATGTATCTATGGATTTGGGTTTTTCTCCCTTCCTGAAGAGACAAAAATGCCCATATTGCCCTTTTTCTTTCCCTGTTCTCTATCACTTTTATCCCCCTGTCTCTGTTCTCCTCTCCTTCCAGCCTCTTCAGTAAATGACAGAATAGACAAGTTATGTGATGTGAGCTAACTAGAGTTAAATAAAACTTAGAAAAATGTGTTATCAAAATACAGTTAGAAAGTAAAGTAAAATCATATTATAAGAATATGGCACATATATCTGTCAGTCCTTCTTTTCACCAAAATATGAAGACCAAATTGGTCAGGAGTGTTGACCTTAAGAATTATCTCAATGAGGGGCGCCTGGGTGGCTCAGTGGGTTAAGCCTCTGCCTTCGGCTCAGGTCATGATCTCAGGGTCCTGGGATCGAGCCCCGCATCGGGCTGTCTGCTCAGAAGGGAGCCTGCTTCCCCCCCCTCCCTGCCTGCTTCTCTGCCTACTTGGGATCGCTCTCTCTCTCTCTCTCTCTCTCTCTCTGTCAAATAAATAAATAAATCTTAAAAAAAAAAGAATTGTCTCAATGCAATGAAAAACATTTTTAAAGGACTTTTAAAATCTGTATTTTTTTTTAATTTTATTTATTTATTTGACAGAGAGATCACAAGTAGGCAGAGAGGCAGGCAGAGAGGGGGAAAGCAGGCTCCCCGCTGAGCAGAGAGCCCGATGCGGGGCTTGATCCCAGGACCCTGAGATCATGACCCGAGCTGAAGGCAGCGGCTTAACCCACTGAGCCACCCAGGCGCCCCATCTGTATTAATTCTTGTTAATTTTTTATAATATTCTTCCTAGATCTCATATTTTGGATTCTGGCTACATTGTAATGAATGACACTTCGACATCAGATGTCATTGGTCGACGAGTTGAGGTTAATGGAGAACATGCAACAGTGCATTTTTCTGGTATCGTCCCTCCTGTGGCAGGTATGTTTGTGTGTGCATTTGTTTATTTTAGAGTTCTTTCTTTGCAGGCTTTTCTCTAGTGGTTTGTAACATCGATTTTAAAGAAATTAACAACGAATTTGTAGATGCTTTCTACATACAATTGTTTGGTTTGGGTAACACTATCCTGTGGTATCTATGATTTTATTTAATTTTAGACTTACCTATTTATTTAGTGTTGCCATTTTATATTAATTCAACCTTAAAATATCTTCTGAGTAAACTTTAAACAACAAGTAATAATTTTGAATTCTCATATCCTAACCTCAAAAACTAAGAATTTTTGGAAATTTCTTTTGTCATTAATTCATGTGTATATGTATTTAGAGTAGTTTAAATTGATAGGCATACAATTTTGTGATATCTTTTTTCACGTATTATCTGGTACATATTTATGTTTCTATAGCATCATTTTGTTTACTTTTTTTATTGAGATATAACTGACAGATAACATTGTATTAGTTTTAGGTGTATAAAATAATGATTTGATATTTATATGTATTGCCAAATGATCACCAAGATAGGTCTAGTTAACATCCATTACCATACATAGTTACAGTTCTGTTTTTCTTTTAAATAGTATCATTCTTTTCTTTTTAAAATTAATTCATTTTTTTTTATTTTTTATTTTTTTATTTTTTAAAGATTTTTTATTTATTTATTTGACAGGCAGAGATCACAAGCAGGCAGACAGGCAGGCAGAGAGAGAGGAAGGGAAGCAGGCTCCCTGCTGAGCAGAGAGCCCAATGCGGGGCTCGATCCCAGGACCCTGAGATCATGACCTGAGCTGAAGGCAGAGGCTTAACCCACTGAGCCACCCAGGCGCCCCTTATTTTTATTTTTTAAATTTCAGTACAGATAACATACATTCTTATATTGTTCAAGTGTACAATATAGTGATTCAGCAATTCTGTACATTACTCAGTGCTTGTCAAGATAAGTGTGTTCTTAATCTCCTTCACCCATTTCACCCATCACCACCCCCACCTCCCTTCTGGTGACCATCAGATTGTTCTCCATAGTTAAGAGTCTGTTTCTTGGTTTTTTGTTTTTGTTTTGTTCCCCTTTACTAGTTTGTTTTGTTTTTTACATTTCACATACTAGTGAAATAATATGGTATTTGTCTTTCTTTGACTGACTTATTTTGGTTAGCATTATACTTTCTAGCCCCATCCATGTTGTTGCAGATGGCAAGCTTTCATTCTTTTTTATGGCTGAGTAATATTCCATTGTGTGTGTTTGTGTGTGTGTGTATACATACACTATCTATTCTTTATTCATTCATCAATTGATGGACTCTTGGGCTGCTTCCATAATTTGCTATTATAAACAATGCTGAAGTAAACATAGGGGTGCATATATTTTTTCGAATTAGTGTTTTCATATTCTTTGGATCAATACCCAGTAGTGGAATTTTCTGGACCGTATGGTAATTTTATTTTTAATATTTTGAGGAACCCCCCCACACTGTTTTCCACAGTGGCTGCACCAGTTTGCATTCCCACCAGCAGTGCACGAGTGTTCCTTTTTCTCCACATCCTCGCCAGTGCTTATTTCTTGTATTTTTGATTTTTGCCATTCGGACAGGTGTGAGGTGTTATCTAACTGTGGTTTTGTTTTGCATTTCACCGATGCTGAAAAGATGTTGAACATCTTTTCATGTGTCTCTTAGCCATTGGTATTTCTTCTTTGGAGAAATGTCTATTCCAGTCTTCTGCCCATTTTTTTAATCGGATTTTTTTTTTTTTTGTATGTTGAGTTGTAGAAGTTCTGTACATATTTTGGATACTAACACGTGATCAAATATGTCATTTGCGAATATCTTTTCCCGTTCCATAGGTTACCTTTTAGTTTTCTTTCCTCTGCAGAAGCTTTTTTTTTTTTTTTTAAAGATTTTATTTATTTGACAGATCACAAGTAGGCAGAGAGGTAGGCAGGCAGAGAGAGGGGGAAGCAGGCTCCCTGCTGAGCAGAGAGCCCCATGTGGGGCTCGATCCCAGGACCCTGGGATCATGACCTGAGCGGAAGGCAGAGGCCCAACCCATTGAGCCACCCAGGTGTCCCACTTTTTTTTTTTTAAGACTTTATTTTTAAGTACTCTCTACACCTAATGTGGGGCTCAAACTCACAACCCTGAGGTCAAGAGTTTCGTGTTTGTGGGATGCCTTGGTGGCTCAGTCAATAGTTAAGCATCTGTCTTCAGCTCAGGTCATGATCCTGGGATCAAGTCCCATATCTGGCTCCTCGCTCAGTGGGAGTCTGCTTCTCCCTCTGCCTACTGCTCTCCCTGCTTGTGCTCTCTCTCTCTCTCTCTCTCTCTCTCTCTGGCAAATAAATACATAAAATCTTAAAAAAAAAAAAGTTACATGCTCATGCGGAGGTTCCTCAACCTCAAAATGTTAAAAATAGAACTACCCTATGACCCAGCAATTGCACTACTAGGTAATTATCCAAAGGATACAAACATAGTGGTTCGAAGGGGGCATGTGCACCCTAATATTTATAGCTGCAGTGTCCACAATAGCCCAATTATGGGAAGAGCCCAGATTTCCATCGATGCAGGAATGGATAAAGAAGATGTGTGTGTGTGTGTCTGTGTGTGTGTAGTACACACACATGATGGAATATTACTCATCCAAAGGAATGAAAGCTTGCCATTGGCAGTGATGTGGATGGAACTAGAGTGCAGTATGCTAAGCGAAATAAGTCAGAGGAAGATGAATACCATATGATTTCACTCATGTGGCATTTAAGAAATAAAACAAATAACGTAGGGGAAGGGAGGGAAAAATAAAATAATAGAGAGGGAGGCAAACCGTAAAAGGCTCAACTATAGGGAACAAACCGAGGGTTGCTGGAGGGGAGGAGGGGAGGATGGAGTAATTGAGTGATGGGCATTAAGGAGCGCACTTGATGTGATGGGTGTTCTGTGCAACTGATGAATCACTAAATCCTGCCCCTGCAACAAATAATACACTCTACGTTAACTAACTTGAACTAAAAAAAAAAAAAAAAGTTGCCTGTTCCACTGACTGAGCCAGCCAGGTGCCCTTGTGATACAGTCTGAACATAAGTTCCACCTGACCCTGTGGGAACTCTGAAGGGAGGTTGGCCCTTCAGAGATTTTCCTAGCTGAGATGAGGGGTGGGGGCACTTACACCTGTGATGGTCTGTCACTCGGTTTTGGGGAAGCGGGTGTGCCAGGCACTTTCACCAGCGGAGACAGTTCTTGAAAGTGTGTTCATAGTTGAGGGCTAATTGCCAGAGGCTGGTTTGCCCAGTAGTTGGTGGGAATAAGTCTCAATTTCTAAAGGCAGGTTGGAGTGGCCCGTCACAGATCCAGTAATGCAGATGGAGGCTATTTCACGGTAATTTAGTGACTATGAAGTGGTACATATTATTTTCATTTATTAAATTGCCTGTGAGTTTGACAATTCCTTCATGTATGTATGATCAGGCGAATTTTCTCCCCTCAAATTATAATTCTGCGAAGAAGGAGCTACTGTGTATTCACTCTATTAATTATCTCATTGTGTGGGGGCATTCTGTAGGACTTTACCTCAACTGGTGTGACTTTTGAGTTTCTTTCAGAAGTCAACAGGTGGAATTGGTACAAAGATGCAGTGAAATTGAACACAGATTCAGTAATTACTCCTGGAGCTGCTTCACTGGGTGTAAATTTTAGGGTTGTTGTGATAATTAAATAAATGAAGGTGTTTAAAGCACTTAGACCAGTTCCTGGAGCATAGTGTTAGCTATTGTTGTAGATAAAATTTACTTAAGAAAGAGATAGGGCAGTTCTAATGTTTTACAAATGGCTTGGGTTGGAAATTGAGATATCCCGAGATAGCATCACATGCAGGCTTTTTAATTTTTTAATTTTTATTTTTTTAAAGATTTATTTTAGAGCGTGTGAATGAGTGTGGGGTGGGGAGGGGCAAAGGGGGAGGAAGAGAAAGTCTCAAACAGACTGCTCTGAGCACGGAGCTGGACTTGGACTTGATTGATCCCACGACCCTAAGACCATGACCTGAGCTGAAACCAAGAGTCATTGCTTAACTGACTGAGCCATCCAGGTGCCCCCATATGCAGTTTTTTAAAAAAGTGTTTAAATAAAGAGGATATGCTGTGATGGGTAGAAAAGTGCCCCTCCCCTTCCAACAAAGATGTCCCCAGGAGCTGGGAGCATTGTGTTCGGTTACATGGCAAAGGAGAATTAGGGTTGCAGGTGGAATTAAGCTTGCTCATCAGCTGACTTTAAGATAGGGAGATTATCCAGGTGGGTTCAGTGCGATCTGAAGGATCTGTCGAAGTAGAAGTAGATGAGGACAGTGCAGGAGAGCAGCGATGTGAGAAAGTTTTGACTGGCCACTGTGGGCGTTGAAGATGGAATCGGGTCGTGAAGCCGAAGAATATGTGCAGCCCCTACCAGCAGGGGAAGGCAAGGCAATGAGTTTTCCTCTCTCGCCTCCAGAAGGGAACACAGCTTTGCAACCCCTTGATTTTATTTTATTTTTTAAAGATTTTATTATTGAGAGAGAGAGAACGTGCATGAGAGTGGGGTGAGGGGCAGAGGGGAGAAGCAGACTTCCCTCTGAGCAGGAACCCGATTCGGGGCTTGACTGGAGACTCCAGCCAGGGTTGTGACCCGGGCCGAAGGCAGACACTTAAGCAACTGAGCCACCCAGGCGCCCCTGCAATACCTTGATTTTAGACCAGTGAGACTGTCCTCAGGCTCTGACCTCCAGAACTGTAGTATAAAAAATTTGTGTGTGGGGGGGATGATAGTCAGGCACTAATGTTATAATTGTGTTTGGAGAGTCTGTTTAGAATTGTTTCATGAATGTGGGAGTGAGGAAGCACTTTTTCTAAATTTGTTTCATGTGATTTAAATGATTAACTGATTTAATTAATGAAATACTACCAGTAGACCTTTTATTAATATACATCTGTATGCTTAAAAATTAGATATTTGTTTCTCG